ACATGTTGCATGGAACTGTTAGAGAATTGAATGTCTACTTTCTATACTAATCAGACCAGAGCTTTCAAACAAAAAGGGATTCAAACTTTTTACCATCTGATCTGAAGTCAGACGCCTGGTCCGTTAGGCCATGTCCTCCCTAAGAAGTTATTAATTTATACAATTAAAAAGTTCCATGGGTTTATCTGACACGTAGAAGATAGCAAGCCATTGTCATTAAGAAAAGCTATATATCTTATAGTTTCAGAACCTGACACATGGAGGTCAGGACACATGGATTCTTATCTAAGGGCAATATGGGGATTGAAACCATGACCATGGCATCATTAGCATCCCACTCAAACCACCTGGGTAATCAGCCGATGTCTTCTTTGTTGCAAAATCTGACTCAGAGGCCGTTTACACGTTGCCGGCTATTTTCATAAACGGACATTTCACCGTCTCCGTTTTCAAAAAGATCTTCGTTTACACTTACCCGTGTATATATACACAAGAGCATGCCAAACCTGTAGGTGGCAGTGTAACGAGAAGCTCAAGCCTTCCATGTATCCATTGTCACCATAGCAACATAGGTCGCACTTTTGACACAGGCGCAAGTTCCGGCGCATACTGTGACGTCGGCTGCCTATAACTCCGTTTATCTCCGTTTATCTCAGTTTACATGCAAACGCGCAACCGGAGTTTTCCAAAATCTCCACTCTGGCCGGAGTTTTTAGAAAGACTCGTTTTCAGAGGAGAAATCTCCGTTTGCGTGTAAACGAAGGGCACAAACGAAGGAAGATGTCTCCGTTTATCAAAATCACCGTGTACGTGTAAACGGCCTCTAATGCTGAATTTAACAGTCCTTTATTCACTGAGGCTCCAAACATGTTTTGGTTTGATGAACTGTACAAACACAATATGACATGTTACGTGTTTGAAGCACCCAAAGTTAAGGTGGAAGGAGGTGAATATGTTTCATAGAATATTTTAGGACTCTGCCTCCCAACTTGGGGGTCTGGATTTTCAAGATAAATCTGAGGATGGCAAGATGATTGAGAAGTTTTGCCAGAATTTGGAGTGCTTTTCAACAAGCTATGCCAACGTGGTTGGCACCAATGGATGCCTTGAGTTGTTAGCTTAAAAAATAAGCACACCGCAGCGTCTTAAGCCCCGTTTCCACCAAACACTTTGGGTATGGTACCTTTGGAACCAAAAGTAACCCTTCAGATGTGGTACCGAGACCCTAGTGTTTCCACCGCAAACAGTACCCTTAAATGTGGGCGGGGTTGTTGTCACTCACTGCTCCGTCCAGCACTCACTGTATTTCCTCATCACCAGTGACACAGATGGAAGTCTGCACTTTGTTTATCGTCCACAGAACGAGTTTGCACGCCGACATTTACAAACAACAAAATAAAACAGGCTGCAGTGAGAGTCTCTCTGGATGAGATATTTAAGAATAGCGGGATTGTGTATTAAGTCCTTCTCAGGCAAGCTCAGGGGCTTAGTGTTGCTGGAGCCCACAGGAACAACGCTCCACAGCACTTTTTTTTCCTTTGGGTAAGAATTGGGATATATACTGCTCACGTAACACTGTCGAAAATTATATATATATAAATCATTACTAAAAGTGTGTCAAAAACTAAAGTAATGGTCAAAATTGTCACTGAATTCAAGGTGTGTTGACTGACGTCATCAACTTATGCATTGAGTAACATTACAAGTTAACGTTCAACCTTAAAATTTGCAGGCAGTCGGCCTGGTAAATTGTTATTTTTTTACTTCGACTCCAGCTGCTACAAGAGGCAGCAAAACATCCTTTCAATTTATAGTAAGTCTACAAACAAAACTCCATGGTATGAACAGTGGTTACACGAGCCTCAAAACCAGCCACAACTCTGGTCAGTAGCGGATGGTCACTGTGCTCTATCATCGGACTGCAGTGTTCACAGCTTCACCTTTTAGTACCAGATCTGTGTGCTAGGTACCCCAACAGAGGGGGGACCAAAAATGGGGATGGTACAGATGGTTCCATTGGTACCATCCACAACTTTTCACAGTGGAAATGGAAGAAAAGTGTACCGCACCGAGCTGTACTGTATCGTACTGCTTGGTGTAAATGGGGCTTCAATGACAGTAATGTTGGCCTCCAATTATTTTCGTTGACATCTTCTATCCACAAACACTGTACAACAACATTGAGGAAGTTTAAAAAGTGCATTTTCATCCTGAGTTTGGAAATCTGCTATGTGGGTAGTGAGCGCAGTCTGGAGTGATGCAAAAATGTTACAATGATGTGTCAACAGTATGGCAGCTTCAACTTTCACTGTCCCATCATGTCAGCCTGACAGATTCTAGTTTACCTAACCCTCAGGGCTGCAGTGGAGCTCACCCTGAAAACAAAGATGGACTGCATCAGAGTAGTGATCTGGATGAAATGCATATACAGTATGTGGCTAAGTGTACACAAAGATGAATCCTCTTCTTTTATCTTGGCAGGTGATAGGTGTGAAACAGGGACGGGGTTGAATGATTGACATGGGTGGGAAACTTTGAGAGCAACTGGTGGACAGATGGCTAGTAACAAGGTGGGAAGTTCCAAGAAAATGCCCAACGAAGGCCAATAGACAGCGTCTCAAGCTGAAGCGGGAAAAGGGAGACAGTAGGTGTCATTGTGGCTCAACAAACAACTTTAAACATTTTTATTCTTTTATTTTCAACAAACCCATGATTAATACAGGTAAAAAGTTCTATTCATGTATTCTCACTTTGTATCATAAAACATATTGTAACACCTGTGAATTGGCATATTTAGGTTGACTCGTGCAGAAAACAGCAGATGCAGACTAATTTTATATCAGAAACAAATGAACATGGAGATACAAAGATCTGTAAATCAAAGTTAAAATAGAAAGTGAATACTAGCAATGGCCAAATGAGGCCTCATGAACTCATTGCCAGTCCTTCAGCCTTTATCTTTAAACCAAGACCGCTGGTGGGGTCAGAAAATAAAGAAAGTGGTTCATGAGGCTTCATTTGGCCATCACTAGTGAATACAATCCACCAACTGAGATATTAAGTATATGACAAAGACCAGTGGTGGAATGTGTATTTACTCAAGTACTGTGAGTACAAATTTGATATATGGTTAAATTTAACTGGGGACATCAGGTGTCGATATTGTTAGTTCTATATTGCATTATAACGTAACCAAATCCAACGTCTTCCAAGCAACGTATGCTAATGTCATCTTGAAGTAGAATAATGTTTAGTCGTAAGCTATGGAGACCAAAACCCATAGGGTCTCATTCATGAAACATGAGCAGAACAAATGGGTGTGTAAACTGTTCGCAGATGGAAATGGACGCGTATTTTAGCATTCATCACAATGTTAGTGGCTCTGATCTTTTCGTAGGTACTAACAGAACCTACACCTGCTTCTGACTGCTTGTAGTGCTTGTGTAAATGAGATTTTGCACAAACGTTGCTTGTCATTATCAGAAATTACATTAATTCGTATTGTGCTCTGTTAGGTTCACAATACACAGATGCCTTTGAAACACGTCAGTTAAACATGACAAGAGATTAGAAATATGACACACTTAGTTGGCATTTAGCAGATTTAAGCTTCAGATTAGGATTCTTAAAAACAAGTTATTTAAATCGACTTAATACAAAATTTTAAAAAGCTGTTCTCTGAATAACTAAAATAAGTTTACTACTACTACTACTACTACTACTACAACATAATGATAATAATAATAATAATAATAATAATAATAATAATAATAATAATAATAATAATAATACTAGTGGACGTGGGGAAGCAGTTCGGCGTGTGTCTCCGCTCACACCGGGCAGCTGGTGAACCTGAATCTGGCAGAGAGTTGGAGGGAGACGGTGTGATTTTACGCCACACTATCTTACTTGTTGTTAAACTTAACGCTGGGTTATTGCCCACATTAGACTGCCTGTATTAAGATGTGTAATAGTGCTTTAATTTCACAACAGAAACAAAGAATGCCGAGGCTCAGGGCAGACTGACAGAACAGAACTGACAAACTGGGAGGAGCCTCCTTTTTTTGTGTGTACTTGTGCCTTTTTGCATCAAGTTTCATGTTGACTCATTTTCATTTAACTTTTTGGATGATTCTTACAACAGATGACACAGAATTAACGGCACCCATTACCTCCTTCCAGGCCTTTGATTACCTGTCCCTGTCACACCACTACTAACAAGAAATAAAGTTTTTCTCAGCCCTACTTCACCTAAAATAACTTTAATCTCAGCTACCATAGTAATTATCACCTTCATATGGTGCTCACTGGCTATTAATGGGCGGGGTGTATGCTAAGTGCTGACAAGCGGGAGCGCGCTGTCAGTTTACGATTGATTGCCGTTAATGAATCCAAATACCAAGTTTTTTTTATGTGCAAATCTGCTCACGGATTTTCTAACATTTCATGAATGAGACCCTATGTCTGCAAACATTCTGCAAACATCATAACATTAACATCCACATAACATGAAATTCTAACATCGTTAGACATTTAAAATATCAAACCAAAAAACCCCACAAAATAGTAAAAAATTACCCACAAATCAACTACAAAAGTAAAATGCATTCATAGAATAATTTAATGACATAATATATAATGATGTACCAGACAGAGGGGACAATTTTCTGCATTGAGAGCTATGACTTTTAATCCTTTAAGGGTATGATCCTGATTAGAATTATTCATTTTACTGCAGTAATATTTATAATGCAGGGCTTTTACTTGTGACAGTAGGTTTTCACAGTGTAGTATTTCAACTTCACTACAATGTGGAACTTTATCATTCCTTATTTTTTTAGACAAGGAAATTTTCTAAACATTTTGACTTCATTTTTCAAGCTGCCAGCAATCTTGTAAATTAAGAAATATATAGCACATAAAATAAAAAACAGAAAAATAAAAACTTCTTAATTAATGTATGAATAGGAATAGGAAGAAAAAAAAAGTCTAAACCTGGATGCATTAACAATTTCCAAACGCCTCAGATGACCAGGCCAGAAAACCCCATTTAAACCCTTCAGTGGTGTCATGAAACATCATGTACACCTGAACTCATACATTTATATTGCGTGGTGCGTTTGGGGGCTAGGCCTTTGTTTCGACAGCCCAGAGGCTCGAAGCCCCACTAGTCTGAAAAATTGCCTGCTGGATCAAAAGCATGTTATACCAAAAACAAATGCCCATTGCCTTGAAGTCCAGTTTCTCTGAAAATACACACTCCCTGCACCAAGTTAACGTTTCTCAGTGGCGTTTGAGCCTCCAGTCCTGGGTGTTTTTGCCAACCCTTTGCTGTGTTTCTCGGCGGCATTTGAGACACTGATCCTGCATATTTTTGCCGACCTTCCGCAGCATTTACCCACGGCGTTTGAGCCCCACCAGTGATGGCAGTGTTGGCTGCCAGAATCCAGCCAGCTGATTTGGCCCGATTCTGGGGCCTCATTCATGCCGAGTCTCAGCCGAGTCGAGCAACCGGACCTGGCCCAGCTAATTTCATCCAGCATGCTGACTTCAGGCCGATTCCGGGCCAGGTCATTTTGGCTGCCTGGGCCTGACCCCAGGTGTTTTTGCTTTTGTTTTTACTGGCCCCCTTGCTGCGTTTTTTCAGTTCATTTTAGCCACTGACCTTGGGTGTTATTGCTGACCTTTTGTGGTGTTTCCCAGCAGCATTTGAACCCTGGTCCCGGGTATTTTTCACTGACCTTTTCTAGCAACTTTTGTGCCACCAAACGTGGGTATTTAAAGAAAAACACGATCTTTTAACTAGTATAACGAAGTGGTTTTTTTGCCTAAACTGAACCACACATTAACCACAGCCTTGTCGACAAATGTAACTTATCGTGATCTACAGAAACGCATAATGCAAACATTTTTTCTGCTGATTGGGCTGTCTTGCTGCAGGGAGTGTGTATTTTCTGAGAAACAGGACTTCTGACCAATTGGTGTTTGCTTGTGGGATAACAGGCTGCCAGAGAAATGAGCTTTCAGTCCATTTTTCAGACTAGCGGGGCTTTGGAATTTTGGGTTGTCAGAACAATGACTTCTGACTTTCAGTGCACCAGTAATTCATGCACTTCATTTAACCACTACTGCTTGTTTACAGCAGAGATCACCAGAGGATGAGAGTTTTTCTCATTTTGTTTAAGATGAGGGCTGAAATATGGACAAATCACATCATCAAATGAACACTCAGTGAAGGAGTAGATGTGAGATCGAGCTGTAACATTATAGAAGGACACGAGACCTTCCTCGTAGTCAACGAACACCCCGACCTTATGAGGTTTCGCCATCAGTGAGAGGCTGACAGGTGGAGCTGTCAGGGCTGCGTACTTATCATCTTCATAGTGTACGGTGACCCAGTAGCCATTATCTGGCTGCAGCGAGAGCTTCCCCTTGCGGTTCGCATCGTGTCTTGCCACACCCAGGTCCCACCCGGTCTTGTTGCAGACCTCCACCTCCCAGTATGACCTCCCAGACGTCAACCTGTTGAGCCCCAGGATGCTGCCGTGCATGTCAAACCTCCGTGGAGCATCAGGACCTTTCTGGCTCTTTCCTCCATCTCTCACTGTCTTCCCATCTTCAGAAACAACAAGGCATTGGTGTGCAGAGGTTGCATCCAGCTTTACATCCACTGTAGTTGAAAAGAATAATGGAAATGATGTGCACTTCATATGGGTGACTAACAAACTGTTATGTTGACGTGTTTTACACTAAATTATGAAACTAAGAAATGGAGACTACACCGTAAATTAATAAAATTAATAAAAACTTATAATCGACATAGGGAGCTGGTCCTTGTCCATGGACTCTACCATGTGTCTACTGTAGCCCAGAACGGACAAACCAAACACTTCTTTCTGCGTCAGCCACTGTAGTTTGCAGCCCCTCCAATGCAAGCCGAACAGCTTTAAAAAAAACACTGATTTGTAATATAAAACTGCTTTATTCAGTGTTTTTACTTGTTTAAATCTCCAGGTCTGTTTGTATTGGAGAAGAGGAGACCTCTGTGGATAATTCGGCTCCTGGTAAAACCCTCCTGAACATCTGGATCTTAAGTTGTCAGAGAAAAGGTGAGCACACATTAGCAGGTTCTGGGCTACCGGCCTGCCACAGATGAGCCGAACTGCATAAGGTAAACATTGATTTTTAATGTGAAACTTCTTGAATCAGTGTTTTCATGTGTTTTAATCACCTGGTCTGCTTCTTTTGGAAAGGAAGAGACCTCTACAGATAATTCTAACCAGGAGACATTTGCGCTAGCTGCCACTAAACCCCACACACTGCTCCTTTAAAACATAATTTCCATAGCACACAAATGCACACAAAATAAATGGCCTACTGGACCATGTATTAGTTGTGAAACAATGCCACAGCTTGGCCATACCACAAAGAAAATGTCAAGACTTCATGTTTATCCTGTTTACACCATAAGTCTGTTTTTTTTTTCAAGCGTTCAAAAAGAATGCAATGTGCTTAGTGGGTTTTATATGAGATGCACTCAACAAACAAATGCTGGTGCTCTTGCATTGAAAGGGGCCTGAATATCTGGAGTTTTGATTTTTATAAAAAGCAGTTTATGAGTTATAGGGCTTCATGACAAAACAACAAATCATCTTCACAGGTCTCCCTCAGAGTAACAAATGAAGAGTCATCACCTGAGTCTGACTCTTTTATACACCCACTCAGGGGCGTGTCCTTGTTGGGTAACTGGGATCACAGGTGGAGATAATGAGGGTCGTTAAAGGAGCGCTTCCCAAACATTTTAGAAACCGAGCATGTAACACAAAACAATGGCATTAACGTTAAAAATCTTAAAGGAGTGTGCATAAAGTCACTTGTTCATCCTCCCCATTTAAAAAGAAGTATACCTTTCAAAGTTTAAGGAGTTTGTGAGATTTTGAGATGGAAGCAGACAGTCGGTCAAATCTGCTCAAAAACAGACAACTCATCCATTGTTACTTATTACACATGGCTCAAAAATAAGACAGATATTCCCCTGTCTTACTAATGCGGTGCACCACACACACATAAAAGATTAGACAAATTCCAATTGGACTATTTTGAAGTGAACCCAATTCAGGAGCAGTTTTTTCCTTCATGTCTTATATATTAGCCCTAACCCATAAAAAAGGCACCTTGAATACCTTCAGTGTCTCAAAGCATCCAAGGGCGGAGGTTTTATTTTGATATTAGGGGGCATACGTATGAAATGGGGGTTTGTGGATCCTCCACCAGAAAATTTTGAGCATCCAACACTTCATTTTCTGCATTCTGGTGAATTTTTATGCACCAATTTGTGCATTTTCTACATTAATTTATCCCAGCTGGCACCAATAAGACATCAGAAATATTAAGACTCTTATGTTGTACAGGCGTTTAATTTTGATTGGAATAAAATCAAGTTGACGATATTTTAAATAACGATATTAAAATTTCTTCTTTTGTGGATGTTCATATAATAACATTTTACAGATGGTGGGTTTGGTCTCCATCCGTTGAGACTAAATATCAAGATGACGTTGGCATGAGACATTTGGAAGACGTTGGATTTTGGTCACTTAACATGACTTAAAACCAACAAAATTTCGACATCATCTGTCGTCATTGTTCTACTTTGATTTTGGTCACCCCACGAAAATTTAACCAAATATCAATGTCAAACAACACTGGTGTCCTGTTAGGTATGGTGTAAATGTCTTTAGTTCTATCAAAATAAAAGTCCTCTGCTACTTTCAAGACTTTATTGGGAGGGACAAATGCACGTGTTATAAATAGTAAGGCGGATGTGTCCCTTGCGTCCCTCCAAAATTTACCTCTATGGAAGCAACAACATTTGATATAGAATTTTGTGCAACGCCACCTCTCTGGTACGTTGTGTGTCTGCTTGGGTAATTGTTTTTACATAGGATGCACGACAAGATGCTTTAAAGAGGTATGCAATAAAAAAGCTAAATGTAAAACTATGTGGTGACAAAGTACTTTTAAGACACGCATAACCGAAATGACTTTACGAAATACTAAAATTGAGGGTTTGGAGTGGGTCAAACCATCTATCCAGAGAGACCTTTAAGATTTTCAGCCATAATGCAACAGTATATCCAGACCTAAATGAAAACATTGATCTCAGACCTACAGTATTGGTTTTGTTTGTTTGTCAGCAGGATTATGTGGAAACTACTGCCCCAATTTTAATGGAACTTGGTGAAATAATGTAGCATAGGTCAAGGAAGAACACATTAACAAATTACTTTGTTCCTTGAAGATCCACTTGTTTGCTTTGTAAAATGTTTGGGAAGCACTCCTCTAATCACACTCATGAGCTCCACCTGTGGTCCCAGCTACCCAGTTAGGACACACCAATTTGTGAGTGTATAAAAGGGTCAGGCTCAGGTGTTGTCTCCTCATTTGTTACCCCGATGAAGACCTGTCAAGGTTGAACCCAGCTGCTTCTTTTAAGCCCAGTTCAGACCAAAGATTTGTGATGACATGAGCTGAAACAGGCAACTTGCAGTGCGTTGTTCTGCAAGGTTCTAAAAGCCTGCTAGTTCACACCAATGCAACTAGATGAGATGGTGTATCATCTCTACGCAACAAATCTCTACTTCCGTTAGCCTACCTGTTTGTTTTTTTTAAGTAGAAAATGTTCAAATTGTACAACAACATAAGAGTGTCAAAATTACCACAGTACCTTGAACCCCCCTCAGTCTGCTGAGAGTTAATGACGCACACCTGGGGACTCTCGTTAGCCTGTTCCAGTGTGTGTTCACTGAATGCTAGGGAGGACTCTTGCCTTTCCTCTTGACTTTGAGAAACACCACATGATTCAGAGGCCGTTTACACGTGGCCGGCTATTTTCATAAACGGACATTTCACCGTCTCTGTTTTCAAAAAGATCTTCGTTTACACTTACCCGTGTATATATACACAAGAGCATGCCAAACCTGTAGGTGGCAGTGTAACGAGAAGCTCAAGCCTTCCATGTATCCATTGTCACCATAGCAACATAGGTCGCACTTTTGACACAGGCGCAAGTTCCGGCGCATACTGTGACGTCGACTGCCTATAACTCCAATTATCTCCGTTTATCTCAGTTTACATGCAAACGCGCAACCGGAGTTTTCCAAAATCTCCACTCTGGCCGGAGTTTTTAGAAAGACTCGTTTTCAAAGGAGAAATCTCCGTTTGCATGTAAATGAAGGGCACAAACGAAGGAAGATGTCTCCATTTATCAAAATCACCGTGTACGTGTAAACGGCCTCTCATTCCCTAACCACCATGTATTCCTGTTTCAAAAGTTAAATAAATGTTCTGAGTACACACCTGCAAATGTGGGAATCCTCTTGAGCTCTGTGGAAAGAGAAATTATATTAAAACTCATGACTATGAATTAAACACCTTGATTAAATAAAGGTAGTTTACTCACCAACAGAGGAGAGTGTTTCCATTTTCTGTTGAATTAGTTTAATCATGTTTGATGTGGTAGTTCTTAGGCTACCCAAGGAGAAGGAAGTGTCAACAGTGACATTTTTCCAGTCTCGAGGTTCATTCAGGCCTGTTCCAGGAGAAACCTGTGTGTTGGAGGGACAAATGTCACATTCTCACTGTTAAATAATTTAAATGAATTAGAAACAAGTGGGAAAACACACAGAGTGGTTGAGCACACAACAGTGAATGTTAGCTTCCCCTAGATCTGGATGTTGTTCTCAGATACTGACTTGCTCAAATATTAAAGAGGCCAAACCGCTCGGACGTCTTACCTGTGAGTCTTGGTTTTGGTCCAACTCATCGATTGCATTTTTGAGCTTGTCAATCTCCTTTTGCAGCTTCTTTACCACGTCCCGTGCTTCTCTCTTCACTCTCTGTCTCCTAGATGTGACACACAGTAAATTAGGCAGTCAGTTTTATTCACTGATGACCCCTTACTGTGATGGTGTTAAAGGGACAGTTCACCCTAAAATTCCTCTTCCCTGTAGTGCTAATTATCCGTCTAGATTGTTTTGGTGTGAGTTGCCGAGTGTTGGAGTTGTCTGCCTTCTCTTGAATATAATGGAACAAGATGGCACTCGGCTTGTGGTATCACAGCAAAGAAGGAAGTGAGGACCTAGTCATGGATGAGAGGCTCATGCCCGTGACAGCAGGACATGTAAACATTAATGGTGTCCTCCTGTGCTGAGCTGTAATGTTAGCTAGCTCAGTGGTGCTAGGCAGTGATGGCCAAATGAAGCCTCATGAACCACTTTCTGACCCCACCAGATGGCGCTCTTGGTGTAAAGATAAAGGCTGAAGGACTTGCAATGAAGTGTGCTTTCAAACCCTTGTTGACCAGACAGCGCCATCTGGTGGCTTCAGAAAATAAAGACAGTGGTTCATGAGGCGTCATTTGGCCATCACTAGCTAGGTGAGCTAGCAGTAGATGCACGCTTCCTTCTGTGCTGTGATGGTTGGTGGGTGGGTGTAGAGGAGTAAAAAGAAAATAGGTCCTACATGAAACTACTCACAACAAGGTCTTTCAAATGTATATTCTTGGCACTTCTAGCACCACAAGCTGAGTGCCATCTAGTTCCAATATATTCAAGAGCAGGCAGACATCTCTACTGCAGTATCCTGCACAAGTCTGATTTGCAAGACCTGCTCCCACACCGACACCACAACATACAATCCTGCACCTACCCCACCACCTGCTGATACAACCAATTAGTTCCACAACCTGACTCGAGCCATCAACACAAGATCTGCGACCTGACCTGAAGCCACTAATCCTATAATTACCAGGTAAAATACAATTGAATATGTTCTTTTGTTAATCCAGAACCGAACCCAGTAATAAAAATAAGACAAAACCACCTGTAAATCCACTTTTTGCGGATAACCGATGTGATGCGGGACTCTGCTCTACGGCCGATATCTCCAGCAATTGGCAACTTACACCAGAACAGTTGAGATTGAGAAGTAGCACTACATGTTAGAGGAAAAATATTAATTTTGGGTTTGGGGCTGAGGTGTCCCTTGTTTATAATCTGAGCCACACATGACTGACCTCTCCTCCAGAGGTTGAAGGGCTTTCTGCCGAGCGTCCTCCACAACTCTCATCACCTCTGAAAACACGCTGTTGATCTCCAGCCATTCAGCATCCAAGTCCCCCTGAAAGAAGTAACAGTGTTAAAGAAATATCAATCAAAACTCAAGAAGTGAAAAATCTGTTGCAGCTCACCTTGCAGGCTTTTACAGATGATGTGACTTCAGCCAGCTTCTGCTCCCTGGTCTGAATTTTCTGCTGTAAATCAGCTTTTATCTTGTCTTGCCGTGCCTTGGATGAAGACAGAAAGTACGCACATTGTAGTGACCACTTGCATACACGCAAGTACAATGATAGCAATCAATTGCCCAGTAGAGTCCAACAAGACTAAAAGACATGCTGGTGGCTCTGTGAGGCTGCATGTAGGCACAATAATGCTATTAGCGAAATGTTAATGTCAGCATGCTAACATGATCACAATGACAAAGCTTAACAAGCTGATGTGTAGCAGGTGTAATATCCCAACCAACATTTGTCTGTGGGTACAAAATGGGCTGAAAAATGGGCCCTATATGGGATTGTCCATGGGTTCCAGATTGACCCCATGCCAACTGCCCACACGGGTGGGTTTACCAAGTGGGCTCCACACAGGTTATGCTAGGGCTACCTGGGTAGTAACTGTGATGGACCCAAAATGGGCACCTTATCTGGGGCTCACTTGGGTGAACCCACACATGGGGTCAATATTACCCTGAGACCCTGTGTCCTCATGAGGACATCACATTTTTGGTTCCTTGCAGCCATCATTCTACTTAATTTAGACCTGCTGTCCTCATCTATGGACACTTTTCTGTGCCATCTATTGGTAGTAAGAGCACAATACACTAATCTATGTAAAAACAAGATGGCAGTCATATCTGCCGAGTCAGTCTGCAGCCAATCCTGACATAAAAGTGGACAAGGTCCAAAACCTGATCACATTTTATGACTGAAACTGATAAATCAATTTTCTAGTTTTATATGGCAACAAATTTGACCAACAGTAAGAAGCTAAGATGCTGTTAATTTGGAAGTGCTGAGGATGTTGGGAATTTATCATCGTTTTGTTGAAGGACACTGGGACTTAACTGTCATCTCGTTTGAGGACATTGACAATTATTGTTGACAATGTTTAGTTTTTTTTATACTCATCAGGTCCTACTGATCCCAAATAGCTTGGAGAAATTAAAAATGCATACCAAACAAAAGTTCGCATCTCAGGAAGATATGGAACCTGTGAACAATCCCATAACGGGCCCATTTTTCAGCCCATTGCCTACCCACATGGACCCCACATTACTGATGGCCAAATGAAGCCTCATGAACCACTTTCTTTATTTTCTGACCCCACCAGATGGCGCTCTTGGTTTAAAGATAAAGGCTGAAGGACTTGCAATGAAGTGTGCTTTCAAACCTTTGTTGAACAGACAGCGCCATCTGGTGGCTTCAGAAAATAAAGACAGTGGTTCACTACCCCACATACAAATGTTGGCTGGGATTCAGCAAATTAGTACTGAACACAAAGTAGAGCTTAGGATAATGGGATAAGGGGGGACATGAATGTGTGTACAATAGTTGTTGAGATATTTCACTTAAAACCACAAATGTCAAACTGCTGGTGGCACTACAGGAAAACTCATCAAAGTCACTGGGATACAACATCTGGGGTCCCCTGTATGTACATTTTTAGTATGGATTCTACGCATTGTTTTAGAAATGAGACCCCTGGTAACAATGAATGTCTGTACAAAGTTTCTTGCCAGTCCATCAAGTAGATGTTGAGACACTTTCACTGGATGATGGGAAACCTTGACCTCATGGTGGCGCTTGATTAAAAAGTCAGGAGATCACCAAAGTCCAGAGCTTTAATCCTCTGGGGAAAATACAGTGCATGTCTGTACCAAATTTCATGGCAATCCATGCTGATATATTTTAGTTTGAACCAAAGTGGTGGACTCCCCGACAGGCATCCCTAGAGCCACACCACTAGATCTGGCTTAAATCTTTATTTACTTTATTTATTATAAAAAAAAGTTTGGTACCTTTTGTAGTTTCTGAGCCTCCTTCTCCCTCTCCCTCTCCTTCTCCCTCTCCCTCTCCTCCTCCTTCTCTCTTTCCTTTGGTCGAACTGCTGTTTCCTGAGCAGTGGTGGTTGGAACATCCCAGGGCAGTTGCCCCACCTACAGGATGAAAGTACTCAGTGCAAGCTGGACCACATATTATAATGACAGATCTAATTTATACAGTAGAACTTCTCAGTCTGTGAAGTATCTATTCATGAAGCTACCTTTTTGAAATTGGTGCATGGTTACAAAAAATAAATTACTATAAAATTATATCCAACAATATAGAAACATGTGAACTGAAGAAGTTATCTATAACACTAAACTAGATTTGCTCTCCAGCAGGACATTAAAGCAGGCCGAATATCTGCTGTACCTGCACGTTGCTGGTGAAATCAAGCACTCGGCGAGCATTGGTGGCAGTTTGATATGTTGTGCTGGAGCGCTCTGGAGTTTCAAACACTGTGGAGAAAGACATTGGTCACCATCAAACAAAGCTGCTTTGAATCTTTTCTATACAACCCTGTCTCCTAGAAATGTTTGTATGTCACTAAACTGCCTTCTAAACCTATTTAATCCCACCGGTCACAACAGTGACCACAAAAGTTTCAGATATAACGCTCTAAAAATGTTACTGAATGATGTATCAATGCATTTACAGCAAATATTGAAATAATAAAGGATCTCAATGAAATATGTGCAGTGTCACATGTTTGGTGTCAATTGTCACGTGACCAGAGTTGTTTACTTCCTGGTTGCACCATGAGACAAGGATGGCTGCCTCAAAGCTCCCAAACAAAAGGTTAGTAAAGTTTGTTAACATAAAGACAGGGCAGAAATGTTTGGTCCACTTTATCTTTAAGGTGTCTAGTATTGATATGTTAATATGCAATTACTCATCTTTGTTCAGTGGGGTCACAGAATCAGTGAACATGTTGACGGCAACAATAGTGACCAGTGGGATAACACAGTGTAGTCCTAGTCCACATAGTCCTCGTTCTACCTAACCTTCTACTCTTCTTTTTTTAGGTTTACTTTAGTGACTGTGATGGCAATGCATCAGATATAGACTATGAGGGGGAGACAGGTCATTTAGCAGCCACGCTGTTGAATTCATGTGCTGAACTTACGCAAACAGATCATGACAGGGACAACTTTATCAGGGATTATGACCTCCTCCTCCAGCCCGTTCTCATTCCGAAGTTGTCAAATACCACCACTTTGTCAGTGATTTTGGCTCCTGACGCCAAAAGCCACCTTTTGCAGCGGCCAGACGTAACCTTTGGCATTGTTATAATATGCCACTGGTCGGTGTGACAGCACCTGTCAGGGCGGTATGATACAGTGCTGGACATGGTTGAAAATGCTGAAACTGTGCTGGTAATGACATAATATTAAGAGCAGGAAACTCCATTTAGGGTGGGTAGGAGGGGTGGTGGATGCGTTCAACAAACCTTGGACTTCAACCCATGAGTCGCATGTTCACTTTCCAAATGCCAAACAAAGATGTTTTTTTTCTAGACCTAAGCATGTGCTTTTTGATGTCCTGGTAATGGTAGCATCCTGGAACGTCAACAGCAGACGCAGAAGGATACCTAGCACATCACATGTGAATGTAAAAGGCCACTGACAAAGTGGGTCTGTCTGTCTGTCTGTCTGTCTGTCTGTCTGTCTGTCTGTCACTCTGGGAAAGGAGAGCGCATTCTGGTGGCAATGCTGGGGACTGCCAGTGACAGAGTTTTAAATGTTTTAAAAACTGAGCTGCCATATAAGTAATTTGAATTTTATGTTAATTTGGTCAATAAATGGTCGATACAAGACATTATCCCAACAGTCACAACTGTGACTGACCATAAAACACTTTTTCACCTACTTTTCCATGAAAATTTGAAAAAATACTGATTGGTTATTTCAAAGGGTTATCAGTAGTGATGGCCAAATGAAGCCTCATGAACCACTTTCTTTATTTTCTGACCCCACCAGATGGCGCTCTTGGTTTAAAGATAAAGACTGAAGGACTTGCAATGAAGTGTGCTTTCAAACCTATGTTGAACAGACAGCACCATCTGGTGGCTTCAGAAAATAAAGACAGTGGTTCATGAGGCCTCATTTGGCCATCACTGACAGACGTTTTAGATAGTAATATGTCTGGGAAAAATTGGGGATAAAATGGGGAAATTACATTTATGTGGCAACAGTGTCACTGCCTGGATAATGTTCGGAGACAATGTTTCATTCAGGTAACAAAACACTACATTAATGTATCATGTGGGCTCCAGAGGGAGGTTGTTGGTGAGGATGGTGGGCATACAAAGTGCAGAACCTTGACACCAAAACCTAATATGCTCCACATTAAAATGTATTTCAAATTACATGTATTTAAACATCATTTTGAGGAGACAGGGTTGCTCTATATGTTCTAGTTCTGCATTAATTACAGTTATAGAGCATACGTGATTTCTGTGTTTCCTTCACTGTAACCTCTGTGGGTGCAGGACTAGCTTGGGTGCTGATGATCTGTGACACTGGCGTCAGCGAAGGCTGTCAGAGAAAAGTGGAACATGAGATTATGCAGGTTTTACTCAACAAAAATTTCCTGACTCTCTTCTGACTTTCCTGATCAATCAATATTCCCTCGACTTTTTAATTTGTTTTTTTTTTACAGAAATCTGTGGTACCTGTGCAGCGCTGGTGAAATCAAGTGTCGGGAGTGCGTTGTTTGAGTTTGTGGCCGGTGTTTGCACAGAGTGCTGTTGAGATGCCAGCACTGTAGGGAAAGAGCATGGGTCACTGTTAAACACAGCTGCATTGTGTTACTGCCAGTTATGAATGAAATGTAAATATGATGCATACACAATTTGAACACTGCTGTGGCTTCTGTTGGAGTGATTTGGGAGGTGAAGTTTGGAGACACAGGCACATTCTGTCAGAGAGAGGAGGGAGATGAGATTTTACAGTGTGTTCCTGGCTGATATTAAATTCAACTTCATTTGTTACAAAAAAAAAAACCTCTCCCTGTCAATGAAATGTGTAGCTGATATTTCTTCTTGACTATACCTCCTTTCTGACTGGACTGATCCAAGGAACTGGTGCGCTTTCTTTTTGATGGGATTCTTCCCTTTGATTTCTCCAGACGCAAAGTTCCCTATCTGAAAATAAGAACGTGTTGTATTCAAAGCTGTGAAAAGGCAACCATTCAGCAGTTTGGAAAAGGGCAAAAATTTGGCCCTTGACCGTTACTGTTGCTCCCCTTGTTTCCACCATCTGATCATTTACAGCAGGTGAATTTGAGACACTTGTGATTAACATGGTGCGTAACTCATTACCATGGTACAGTGTGTATTACTCACCAGGGTTGAGAGAGGAGCCGAAGATATTCCACAGCGGCTCTTCTAGTTTGATAGGCGGTCCATTGTAGGTAAGGTTGCGAGTGTAACTGTTAAATCCGTATTGTTGACTCTCAGGGATACGCATTCCCTTTGGTGTACATCCCATCTTCCCTTGGTGAGTTCTCAGGCCTTGGTAGGTGGTATGTTTGGACCAGCCGCAGCAGCCGCAAACCTGGAGGCTCATGTTTGAAGTGTTGAGTATCTGTAGGATTGAAATGCGCATTTTTATCCATCAAAGATAGGATGTGTTCTTCAGTTATAAAGTTGAAGCAACAAGAACTGCTTCCCAAATGTTCAGGATTCAGAAGTAATAATAAATTATTGGCATATAGATGTGTTCAGGGTGGGACTGTAGTCAATCCTGTGAAGTTTGGGGCCGATTGGACCATGTATGCTTGGGCTTAAGTGGAAACACTCAAGCTTGTAATAACTTTTCGTCTTTAAGGTCTTTCAATGGGACACACCGACTTTGAAGTCGGTTGGATTAAATCTCTACGAGGAGTTCGAGCGACCCCTACATGTAGGGGAAAGTAATGATGGCCAAATGAAGCCTCATGAACCACTGTCTTTATTTTCTGACCCCACCAGATGGCGCTCTTGGTTTAAAGAAAGACTGAAAGACTTGCAATGAAGTGTGCTTTCAAGCCTTTGTTGAACAGACAGCGCCATCTGGTGGCTTCAGAAAATAAAGACAGTGGTTCATGAGGCCTCATTTGGCCATCACTGGAGGAAAGTAGCTTCAGGGGCTCTTTCATTGAAATTTTGTAGGGGGCACTACTGAGCACCCAAGCACGAGATCCCTAAGCTACTGTGACATGAGGCTTATTCCTACACTGACCAATAGTGTTATTTTTGTGCATTACTTAAAGCAAGGCAGTAATTATAATAATACAGGGGTGGACCTTGGTTTAAAGCATGGAATTATAGGTTTTGCAGCAGAGAGAAATCTTCATTAGTGTCCACAGAAGACTTTAAGGTTCATTAGGAGCATCCTCTCAAACAGCTTAGCGCTTATAACATTTTCTCTTTTATAAATAGAGTATACACATTTCTGAGTGCAAACACACTTTGATTTGACACCTGCCTGAAAGCTGAACTTCAAGGGAGAACATTTTTGAAAAGAGATTAAAATTCAATTGGAAGACTTGAATGAAACTGTAGATCCACTACAGAATATCTAAGTCACTTTATCACTTTCATTTCAGTGATGATTTGAAACCTAAATGTGTACGGCTGAGATAAGACAGTGATTAGTTGCCCTCTAATGGTACTCTAGAGCAATTGTGCAGTATCAACTATTTCTTGCTGCAAATTCCACACAGCATGGCACAACCAGGAAACAAAATGAATGAAATGATTGTTTACAACAGGAAGTTAGGCGTCAGACTGCATCAGAAAACCTTGCCAGTGTCACTAAGAGGTGGTACTCTTGAAATGGGACTGAATCAAAAGCCCAAGAGGGAAAGTTTAGCATCACAGTAACATGCCAATGTCTCAGTGTTGTGTTTTTATGTACTGCTTGCTTTAGAGCTGTTTATTCTGTAATTTTGTTCTATGTTGTTTGTCTGTAACTTATGTTGCTGCCTGTCTCGGCCAGGACACTCTTGAAAAAAGCGATTTTTCTTTTTTTAATCTCAAGAGATTTTTCTGGTTAAAAAAGAAAAGGTGGTGGGGGGGCTTTTTTTTTTCAAATAAAAATGGTATACAAATGACATAGATACAGCATATTTAAAATTATTTATAAATCAGTATAAGCAATCAGCATAATGTTAAATATAATATATGAGCATGTGTTTGTTTACATGACATAAATAAACATAAATAAAGAATACAACAATACAATACAGTAACATAAGATAGTATTTCATAGGATAAAAATAATTTAGCCTAATAATCAAAACAATAGCAATAATAGAAATAAATGAGAACATTTTTACTAACCTTATTTTTATTTTATTTATTTTTTTGTAATTTTTATTATCATTATCATTATTTTATGATTATTATTATTATCATTATCAATATTATTTTTACTATCATTACTTTTATTATTTTATAATCATCACCATTTTGTTTTTACTATCTATCATTATTTTTATTATCATTGTCAGTATTATTATCTTAACTTTTATTATCATTATTTTTACTATCATTGTCAGTATCTTACCATTATCATTTTTACTACCTTTATCATTATTTTTTAATCCTTTTTTACTATCATTATTACTTTTGTTATCTTTATCTTTATTATTGTACTTTTATTATTTCTATTATCATTATCACTACCTTTTTATTATCATCATTTTTAGTATCATTGTCAGTATTTTTATTACCATTATCATTATTTTTAGTATCATCATCATCATTATTATTATTATTATTATTATTATTATTATTATTATTATTATTATGTTAATAGTTTGGCTGGACAAAATTAAACCAATGAGAAAAATTATTCAGCATTCAACTTCAGACTACAATACTGATGAACTCAACAGGACTAGAAGAAAACAACTTTCATCATGGAAAACTTTCACACCTCTCTCTGTCAGCAGGTAAAGCACGGCCCATTAAATGACACCCTCCACCCACTCCCTACTATGTTTTGTGTGTTCTGTCCTCGCCCTGAAACCTGCGGTTTACCACACTCTGCTATTTGTATCACTGCCGTGCTGCTGCTCACGTCTCCTATCTGCAGCACTGTCGTGTCTAATGCGTTACAGTGACCACACACAGTTCCGTTCCGACACAACATTTATGCTGAAATAATCTTACTAAGATCGCAGATTTCAAGCCACAAGTTCACAGTCAAATAACGTGCAATGACAGGATATACGCTACTATTAAAAAAAACAAAACAAAACAGTGCTGAAATAATAACTTTTAAACACGTCAAAAACTTTCAAATGTATGGACGGATTATTCAATAATTTACATCTTCATTCTATAGGATCATATAATCACTGAGCAAGTGCTTTTAAAGTGTAAATAACACAGCAGCAGCAGCTTACCTTGCACAGTGTCACCTCTCTGCTCCTCCGAGTGATCTGTCTGTCATTTCGCCTCTCCTCTCCCTATCTGTTCATCCCCGACTCTTTCAGTTTCGTTTCAGCCAAAACAAACGTTTAACTTTCTCTGAATCGGCCCACGCGTGGTTTCCAGCTGAGAACTTCCTGCTAAATCTTCTAAAATCTTTTTGAGTTTGCATCATCATTCAAAAGCATTATTAACAAAACTTACTGAACTGGACTGTACAATAATAATATAATGTTCATGAGTAAATTTAAGTATTTAAATCTTGTACTTAGTAAAAGTATCAATACTACAGTGTAAAAATATATTCTGCATTCAAAATATGAAGTAAAAGTGCAAAAGTATGAGCATCAAAATATATTTAAAGCACCAACAGTAGGCTAAAAGTGCTAATTTCCAAAGATCATGTGTTATAATTAGTGATGCATTCAAGTATAAACATGCAGCTGGTAAAGGTGGAGCTCATGTTACTTTTATTTACTGCTGGCTAACTTAATCTATAATAATACACAATGATTTGTCAGATTTATATTTTGTATTAATCATCTTAATCTGCAAAGTAGCTAAAGTTATCAAATAGGTGGAGCAAAAATCATCCAAATTGTATCCATCCATCCATTTTCATCCACTTATCTGGGGCCAGGTCACAAGGGCAGCAGGCCAAGCAAAGCATCACAGACGTCCCTCTCCCCGGCAATGCTGTCCAGCTCCTCCCCAAGGTGTTCCCAGGCCAGATGAGATATGTAATCCTTCCAGTGTGTTCTGGGTCTGCCCCAGGGCCTCCTGCCAGTGGGACGTGCCTGGAACACCTCCAGCGGGAGGCGCCCAGGAGGCATCCTGATCAGATGCCCGAACCACCTCAACTGACCCCTTGCAAAGCGAAGGAGCAAGCGGCTCTACTTTGATTGTTACTTAATCTACAATATATAACAGTTTATCAGATTTATATTCTGTATTAATAATATTTACCTGTTTGGGTTTTTTTATGTTTGCTACATATGATGTGATGTTACAAAGGTAGGCGTAGCTTCAGCCTACCTTAAGCCTTTTTCGGACTGCAGGAGTGTCTAAGTTAAGTTAAATTACTTTTACTGTAATGTTTTGCACTGTGCTATTTAAGTATCTGCAATTGTCTGTGAAAGGCTGACTTTATTTACATGAATTTGTAAAAAGAAATAAAGTAAAATGGAATACTCCCTTCATTTTTTTTATCCAAAAGCTACAAAAAGCAGGCACGCAGGTCTTTTTACTACAAGTTTTATTTACTGTGGACTGTAGGGAGAGTAGCAGTTACAGATGCAGTAGCAAATAAAGATTCTTATAAAAACAAACAACTTGCTGATAAAGAACTTGAATTCGTACAAAAGTATATTTTTAAACAGGTACATAGAAAAATAAAAGTGAACTCGAGCTGTCTTACATGACATTAAGCAAAACCACATTCAGTTCAGTTTATTTACCATTAATCAAAACCACTAAAACTGAACACTGATAATGTTTATCTTCTCTGGACTTTCCTAAAAACTTGGCATTTGACCCGGGGATGGTGCCTCACTGCATGACCTCCTGTGTTCACAAAGTATTGCGTGCCTGATACGCGATGAGTCGTCTCATCCCTTCTCAGGTAAGCTCGAAAAAAGCATAACTTACAAAGTTGTTCATTAACTTAATGTTTGCTTTAACCCTTCCAAAAAGACTTCGATTTTTGCTCCTTGTACTGCTGACACAGCTGCAACTACGACTAATGTCTGACCTCTGCAGATTTTCATGTGACTTTAACCTGACTGCTGATAAGGCCGAAAATAAACCATCATGACGTTACGCTGAAAACTATGTACAACTAAATAGTGTTACAATATATTGACATTTAGACGGACTAAATTATTTCTAACAAAGTCTGCTCAGATGGGGTGTGTATTCCGATAAAAATGTAATGTTTCTAAAAAGAAGCCCAACCCAGCCAAGGCAGACCAATAATTTCCATGTACCGAGGTGTGAGACCAAATATACAAATACTCTGTGCCTTCTGATTTGACATGCAAATAAACCTACTCATGTTGTTTGTGTATTATTCAGTCTAGTCTGACTACTTATAATTTTGGTTTGGAAATAAAACTAGCCCACACTGTGATACTGACTTACGTGTCATTACTTGGAATTCTTACAAGTTATCAAATAAAGTATGAACATGCACTCAACGTGTGCTTGTCATGCAAAACTACGTCCGTCCAGGTGAAATACCAAAGTTTAAGGGAGTCCCATATCTTAAATGGCTCTGGAGGGAGTGTTCCAAAAACAAAAATGACCCTTCTGACATTGTTTAAGTCGGGCATAACAAAAGACCCAAAGTCAGTTGCATTACAGGAAATGGAGGATCCAGTTGTTTTGGAGCTTGAACCGTACTAGGGGCTTTGAGACACATATCTGGAACTGTGCTGATCTGCTATTCAAGCCTGGTCTCACTCCGAAGTCGTCCCAATCCAGCATTTGGGCAGTGACTTGCGGAGTCATAAACCAAAGAAAAAAGGCATCCTTTAATGTTGGCATGATACGTGGCCGGTTGCTGTTATAGTTTAACGTCGCCCAGCAGTGTCAGGGGAAACGTGCCTGGACAAGGACGAAAGTTTTTCTTTTTGTTGTCTAAACCAAACCAGGGGTTTTTGTTGTCTAAACCAAACCAGGGGTTTTTGTTGCCTAAACCTAACCACGGGTTCTTGTTGCCTAAACCTAACCACGGGTTCTTGTTGCTCAAACCTAACTGCAGGTTTTTGTTGCCTAAACCTAACCACGGGTTCTTGTTGCTCAAACCTAACTGCAGGTTTTTGTTGCCAAAACCTAACCACATGTTCTTGTTGCCTAAACCTAACCCCGGGTTCTTGTTGCCTAAACCTAACCCCGGGTTCTTGTTGCCTAAACCTAACCACAGGTTTTTGTTGCCTAAACCTAACCACGTGTTCTTGGTGCCTAAACCTAACCACGTGTTCTTGGTGCCTAAACCTAACCACGTGTTCTTGTTGCCTAAACTTAACCATGTGTTCTTAGTGCCTAAACCAAACCATGCATGTTAGTTGTTACAGGAAAAAAATCCAATGTGTGGTGTTGTACCGATGTAGTGCGTTTGTGTAAAGAGACTGTATGTAAACGTGAAGTTTCCTGTAAAAACGGAAGTCTGTCTTTAAAGAACAGAACTTGACACGGTGTCCCAGAATGTCAACAACCAATGCACTCAGGGTACCTTTCACGAATTATGTGGATGTGGAAAGTCCATGACCAAAACGTCAATATGCAACGAGGTTGGAGTGAGGATGTGTTGGATATCCACCATTTTTGTGTCTCATGTGTCCCCTACAAAATACAGCTTCAACAAAAACTACATTAACCTTAAAAAAATATGAAAGAAGTAAGCAGCAAGAGTATGTTGCACACACACTCATGATAGCATGCATTACTGGTTGAGATTACACAGTTGAGATAATCAGAGGATCGGCACTTTCACCATTTTCTTTAAGGTGCAAACTGAAATAGGGGTAGATCTCTCCGTTGAACGAACACTCAGTAAACAAGCAGATGTGAGATCGAGCCGTCACATTGGAGAAGGACACAAGGCCTTCCTCGTAGTCCACAAACACCCACACCTTTTGTGGTTTCTCTTTCAGGGAAAGCTGAACTGGTGAAGCTGTAAGGGCTGCATACTTGTTGCCATAATACTCAGTAACCCAGTAACCGTTATCTGGGTTCAGTGAAAGTTTCCCCCTGTGGTTTGCATTGCCTCTCGCTACACCCAGATTCCACCCCGTCTTGTTGCTCACAACAACCTCCCAGTACGACTTCCCAGAAGTCAACCTGTTGAGTCCCAGGACGTTGCCAAACCTCCCAGGAGCTTCCTGGTTCCCTCCTCCGTTACTCACTTTCTTCCCATCAGCAGAAACAAGGCATCTGTGTGCAGTGGTTGGGTCCAGCTTTACATCCACTACAGTTAAGATAACAACATAATAGAAAATTACATACTGAACTAATATCAGTCGATATGAGTTGCACCTGCTATACATGCATACATACAGCCTTTCCTTTTCTTCACAAAGGGTTAAAACTGACCAAATTTCACCTGTACCCATGGGTAGAAAACCACTGGGTCACCAATCAAACCCAACAGGTTGTTCTGACCAAACGTTATTGTTGGGTTATTCATCCAAACTAAAATACATTATGGTTGTGAACTGTTTGCCCCTCTCATGATGATGTTTGCCCTTTGATGAATACTTTGCAAAGGTATTACAACACCCTCCTTTGCTGCGTTCACACTTCGAGTGGGATGGTAACAGGCTACAAGTCAGCACTCGTTGCTACAGATGTTTGTGATGTGCTAAACGCCTTGTACGCCTTATTCAACCTTTTCGGAGGGCTCAACCTACAACCCAACATAAAGGGTTAAACTTGGGACAGTGGTACACAAATGGTGTGCCGTGATGCAAATCCAGGTGTGCCGTGGGATTTTGTGATAACCATACATTATTACTGCAATATTCCACTGGGCCTGTACAAAAAAGTTATTAATTAATTTTTAATTGACTGTTTAAGTATGTTGTGCACATCCATTTCCTAATAAAGAGGCAAACTCTCGCTAAAAAATGTGATTTGATTTAATTTAAAAAAGTCTTCATGGGGAACCTTTTTGTTGCCATTCACACATGGGAGTTATTAGTGTGTAACACCTCACATTATCTTCCATTATCCACTTTATAAAGGCTATTGTGCACAGATATTAATACAGGTGTGCCTTGATATTTTGGCTTAGCCTCTGGTGTGCCCTGGGCACAAAAAGTTTGAAAACCACTGACCTAGAACCATCTTTAAAGTTTCACCCAGAACCCAGAGAACCCCTCTATTTAAGGGTTCAACCCAGAACCTTTCCATGATATAAGGCAGCAGAAAAGAACCCACCCAGGGGATTCTATCAAGACCCCTTTTTATATTTTCAAGGGTTTCATGTAGATCCCTTGGACTTCATGAGGCTCAACCCACAATGCTTATGGTTCATAATCATTCTCTGAAATCACCTCTAATACAGCCTTTAACATTTTAATGGTGCAGTAAGGTTGGGAACTGAAACTTGGTTCCAAACAGAACCAGATGCAAAATGCGTATGAATGTTTGTATGGTCAGACCCCTGATAAAATGATGATAAAGACATCAACTTATGAAGAACACAAGAAAATGAGAATTAAGAGGAATCCAGATACACCCACATTGAAAAATACCATTTGAATATTTGAGGGTGAGGATCACTGAACAACACGAAGAAAGCTCCACACACTGTAGCTCCTTACATGCAGTTAACATCCGCAAGGGCCTTAGGAGGCTATGGTGTGTGGACCTTTCTTCATGTTTATTGCTATCGTTAATAGGTCCCTCACCACCTACTACTTTTGGAGGACCATTAACACCCATGCTTTCACCAGTCCTTGAAGAACTCTTATTTTTCCCAAAAGACATCTTTGGATGAAAAGGGTTCTTAATGGAACCTTTAGTCTTATAGAAAAGCCAAATGGCCCTGGGTAGAGCCTCGGCTGTTAAGTAGAATACTTCTGGAACCCTTATTTTTAAGAGTAGATATATAGAAGTATGAGATTAGCTATGAGCTAAGATGACTCCATTTTGTTGTCTCCAGAACTTACTTGAGGAGTACCTTGAATTTGCTATATTTACCCTTCTTATTTTTGATTTTTCTTCACAATTTGAAATACGCACCTGCAAACTTGGAAATCCATTTCAGTTCTGTTTGGGGGAAAAACACATTATTTTGTTGGTTAATTGGTGACAGTGCATTACAATTACTTTAACCAAATACAAAGAAAAAAACTATTGGTAAACTGAGTGACTCACCAATGGAGGACATTTTCTCCAGTTTCTGGAGCCTTGATCCACCTTTGGTTCTCTCATCTGGATTTTGTGCTTTACGTCAGTGGGTCTCACCTTGAATGACAGTTCACAAGAAGGCTTTAAGTATCCAGGAACCCTTTTTTTTCAGTAGTAGAATGGCAGTATGGATGAAACTACCACAGAGCGTAGAACAAGACTAAACATCCACACCAGTTCTGTGAGGCTCTGTTTAGGCACAGAGGTTTTGAGCTGAATGCAAACATCAACATGCTAACTTAAGAGTGCTAATATGCACTGATGTTTATCCTTTTCAATTAGTATGTTAGCATGCTAATGTTTGCTAATTAGCACTAAACAAAACTAGGAGTGGAATTGCCAGAGGACCTACGATACAGTATTATTGTGATACCATATATTGCGATTTATTTCCCTTTCTTCTAACTGCAAAACATTTCCCCAGTGGAAAACTTTGTCAACATCACTTTTACCGTATGAGATAAAATTTTCAGTCTGTTCACCTGACTTAAATAATTTTTATTGCAGCAACATGTGACGCAAAGCAGACAGACTGACCAACACCATCATAAAACCTGTCAGAAATGCTGCATATACCTGACAAACTGAACTAAGCATGTGAGTGAAACACTTCACGTAGAGGTAGCCCACTAACTGAATGGCAACACCCATGTTAGAAGCTTTGTCTGTAACAACCGCAATCCACCATTGTTGTGCTGCATTTTGCAAGAGGTCTGCAACATTTGCTCAGGTGTGACTTTCGTGAAGTAGGTGATGGACTGTTATTTTCTTCACTCTTCTCAGAGTTGGATAGTAGTTTTGTCAAGCTAAGTATCTCCGGTTTTTGTTGATTTTTCGGCAGAGCAGTTTTAGCGTTAGCGTTTAGCGTGGAGTGTGAGGTGAGACCTCATGTTCATAGTATTCCCAGAGTATTTTATCCTCATGACACAACTTTGCAATCCGCATGCATCATATCAAAGTCCTTCTTCCCTTCCGTGTTAAAACATCCCAAATCAGTCCAGACGTTTTGATTTAAATGCCAACGGTTTATCTGATTTCTTTCTCTGATGCCTCTATTGTTTTGATGAACTTCCTGCCAAATGCTGCTGACTGAGACCTCTGCTGATCTCACCAGAAAAAAAGACTGGCACCATCTAGTGGACTGAAAAAGCAACTGATTTAATTATTCTCGTAAATGTGCATTTGTGAAAATTAACATAATAAAAGATCGATACTTGGTGACATATCGATACAATATCACCACGCAAAATATCATGAAAATATGTTGTATCAATTTCTTTTTTTTTTAACCCACTTCTAAACAAATCTGACACTGGCGTCCCTTGAGCAGCCCCGCTACCAAAGCTATGAACAGTACAATCAAAGCACTGGTGCTGTACCTGTGTGAGGTTTTGATCCTCCTTGTCTTTCTCCTTTGGTTGGACTGCTGCTACCTGTGCTGTGGTAGCTGAAACCTTCGGGGTTAATGGCTTCGCCTGAAAGTGAAAATACACAACCAACCAATTAATGCTCCTAGCAACCACCTAGTAACCACCTCAAACACCTGTGCAACACAAACACAGGTGCAAACAAAGAAAATGGCAGTGATGTGATTTACAGAGGTTCTACAACCTGTG